ATAAGACAGAGGTCTCTTCGGTATTGATCAATTTCTTTGCTATGGCTAAACGTCAATTTGGTACGTTTGTGCGTGTGGTTCGCAGTGACAATGGGACTGAATTTATGTGCATGACTGATTATTTTCGTCGTGAAGGTATTTTACATGAGACCTCTTGTGTGGGTACCCCTCAGTAGAATGGGCGTGTTGAACGCAAGCACCAACATATTCTTAATATTGCTCGCGCTTTACGATTTCAGGCCCGTCTACCTCTTCAATTCTGGGGTTATTGTGTTCTTACTGCTGCTCATTTGATTAATCGCACTCCGTCGCGTGTTTTGAGAAACAAAACTCCCTATGAGATGCTATATGGGAAATTGCCTGATTATTCTCGTTTGCGTGTTTTTGGGTGTCTGTGCTATGTTTATAATCGCGATCGACATGGGGACAAATTTTCTAGTCGTAGTCGTAAGTGTGTATTTGTGGGATATCCCCTTGGTCAAAAAGGCTGGCGTGTTTATGATGTGGATCGTGCGATTTTTTATGTTTCCCGAGACGTTGAATTTATCGAGACAGAATTTCCTTATGAGACATCTTCCTCTACTCCTTCGCTCACTGTGTCACCTTCTGTTGTGACTTGGCCTCCTACTTTGGACGAGGATGATGATCATACGTTGGTTGTGCCTCCTGCTGTTGTGACTGACCCGCCAGTTACCTCTGGCTCTTCCGACGACAGGGGGGCTGTTCGGTTTCAGTTCCCGCTGAGTCTACCAAACTGTTGGGTCGTGGTCATCGCACTCGCCACACCTTGACTCGTCTTCGTGATTTTGTTACTGCTACTGTCTGTCCCCCTAGTCCCTCTGCTGCATATCCTGCTTCGTCATCATCCTCAGGTACTCTTTATCCTATCGTACATTATGTTAATTGTTATGCTTTCTCATCGGCCCATAAGTCATTTTTGGCAACTCTCGCTTCCGAGGTTGAGCCTCGTACCTTTACTGAGGCAGCTTCTGATAGTCGTTGGCGTACGGCTATGCAAAATGAAGTCCAGGCTCTCGAAAATAATGGTACTTGGGAAGTGGTTTCCCTTCCTCCTGGGAAACGTGCTATTGGCTGTAAGTGGATTTACAAAATTAAAAATCGATCTGATGGTTCTGTTGAGCGCTACAAAGTGCGACTTGTGATTTTAGGTAACAATCAGGTCGAAGGCATTGATTATCATGAGACTTTTGCTCCTGTTGCCAAAATGGTTACTGTGAGGACCTTCTTAGCGGTCGCAACAGCTCGACAATGGGAAGTTCATCAGATGGATGTTCACAATGCCTTCCTTCATGGTGATTTAGCTGAGGAGGTATATATGAAGCTTCCCCCTGGGTTTCGTTCGGGTGATGATGGACGGGTGTGTCGCCTACGTCGCTCTTTGTATGGTTTGAAGCAGGCTCCACGTTGCTGGTTTGCGAAACTAGCGACTTCTCTCCGTCAGTATGGTTTTTCTCAGTCGCACTCTGATTACTCTTTGTTTACCTTGCATCGCAGTTCCGTGCAGTTGCAAGTGTTGGTGTATGTTGATGATCTTATTGTCTCTGGTAATGATCCTACGTCCATTATGGCCTTTAAGAGTTACTTGAGCCGCTGTTTTCACATGAAGGATTTGAGCCTCTTGAAGTAATTTTTGGGCATTGAGGTTGCTCGTAACGCATCTGGCATTTTTCTATGTCAGCAGAAATATGCTTTGGACATCATTTCTGAGGTTGGCTTATTGGGTGCCAAGCCAGCTACGTTTCCGTTGGAGCAGAATCACCGTCTTCTTGATGATGCTACTCCTCTTCTAGACGATTCAGAGGGCTACCGGCGCCTGGTTGGTCGACTGATTTATTTGGCGGTTACGCGTCCTGAGTTGTCTTACTTTGTGCATGTTCTTGCTCAATTTATGCATCAACCTCGGCAGGCGCATTGGGAGGCTGCTTTGCGTGTTGTTCGATACTTAAAGGGATCTCCTGGGCAAGGCATTGTGCTTCGTTCTGACTCGGATCTTCAACTCTCTGGATGGTGTGATTCTGACCGGGCGACATGTCCCCTTACTCGTCGTTCCCTCAGTGGCTGGTTTGTTCAATTAGGCCAGTTTCCTATCTCTTGGCGTACGAAGAAACAACATACTGTCGCACGTTCTTCTGCTGAAGCTGAGTATCGGGCTATGGCTACAGTCATTTGTGAGCTTAAATGGTTGAAAGGGTTACTACACAGTCTTAGTGTGTCTCATTCGCAGCCTATACGTCTTTATTGTGATAGTCAGGTGGCTTTGCATATTGCTGTGAATCCCATTTTTCATGAACGAACTAAGCATATTGAGGTCGACTGCCATTTCGTTCGTGATGCACTTGCTCAAGGCCTTGTTTCTGCATCTCACGTTTCAACTCATTCTCAGTTGGTTGATCTTTTTACCAAGGCACTTGGCAAGCGCGAGTTTGACTTCTTCCTTGGCAAGTTGGGCAATCGGAATTCCAATGCTCCAACTTGAGGGGGAGGGGGGGTGTTGATGTAATATTATATGTTATCATATCTGTACATATCTTCTAGGATATTCTGTGAATATTTGATAGACTATAATTAGGGATTTTTCCTATATTGTAATTAGGGTCTTGTAACTAGTGGCTATATAATGCCCTCTCTAATTATTGATGGAAAAACAAGTTTTCCCACAAATCTCTTTGTCAGACTTCAGTGCTTAGCCAATCTGAGGGAACGTTGTATACTTGGACCCAAATATTGAGCTTGGAGAAGATTGAGTGAGAAGGAGAAAGACCTTGTTGCCATTCTGCTAGAATGAGGTACTGGTTGTCAAAAATCCAATTGGTGCCCTTAGCAACTTTAAGAAGATCATCTCTGCTTTGGAAGATGAACTGGAAGAAATTAGGCCCCAGTTCCTTGATTTCAAGATCCTGTTGGAGTCTCCAAATATGGCTCATTGTGCGTTTTACTCCAATCCAACTGGCTCTCCTAAGATAATTTTGCCGAAGAGACTACGGTGACACTCATCTGCACTTATTTTGAATCTAAACAGGATGACAAATACATTTTTGTCAATGAGACTTGCTTGGATTGAGATGTTGTAAGTTAGTCAAGAAGATATGGTTAGATCTGTTGTCTAACAAGGATTCTCTTGAACATCAAGGCGTTCACCCTATATAAGTGTACCCAAGTTCTATGTTAATATCTATCTGATATTAACGCATAAAAATACATAATTTATCGTAATTTTCTTGAACAAATTCTGACTGAAGTGTCGGAGTCTACACCAGGACCCCTTCGTGGTGTATTGCAGATTACTTCGTGGTGTATTGCAGATTACCGGAGGTTGGAGCATAAGGGAACTTGGAGCAGAAGGACGTTTGAAGATCGATTGTAATAAACAAACTCTGACTGTGACAAATTGACACATCAGTTTTAACTTATTTTACATTTTTGTTGACATATTATAATTGGTATAGTATATTTGGTTTGTGTTATAAGATTTTATTTATCTTCCTTTTTAGCCTAGATTCAACACTATATATATATACACGTGTGTGTACTTTTTCTGTTGTAGTAATAGTAATAAATACATATACACATGAATTTTAATTATATTCATTATTTCCTAGTTTTTTCTTCTCTTTTTTAAAAAGAATAAAAGATCAATAGTGTCCCTTGAATTATATATAATTGTATATTCATTTTTCCTAGTTAACAATGCGATATGCATCTTGAATAGTTATAACCACGTATTCACTCGGTGAAATTCTAAAAATTAATGTGAACTAGTAGATATCCTGTGTATATGTATATATGTACATAAAATATTATAAGTAATATTTGAGAATTTAATATTAAAATTCTAGATAATGAATATATTACATTTTAAAAAAATTGATCATTAGAAAAATAAATTAACGATTTTATTATTATGAACAATTGTTTATTATCATTAAATAATAATTGTTTGATTATTATTATTATTATTATTAAAAAAATAATTGTTTATAAGATTCTAAAGTTGTTTGGCTATGCTGTTAAGATTATTTACTAAATTTTTTAAATAAAATTTTCATGAGATAAAAAAAAAAGATAATATTGATGTTAAAATAAATAACTTGAAACAATTGTTTATAATTATGTAATTTACATTTATTGTGTTTATTATTAGTTGGTATGAGCAATAACTTTTTAGATGGCATGTTAAGTTAATGAAGCCTAGTCCCGACTTTGCCAACTCAACCCCCTTGGACGGACCCAATTTCGACCTGACACTGATTCCATTTTGACGGAATAAATAACTTGAAACAATTGTTTATAATTATTTAATTTATATTTCTTGTGAATTATTATTAGTTGGTATGAGCAATAACTTTTATATAATATAATAAAAACATAAATGATTACACTCAATAGGATGTATTAATGTGAGGAGTAAAAAAAAATATTAATGATAAGTTTTGTAACCGAAAATGGAGGAAAAATTTTATTTTATTAAATATATTTTATTAAATACTATATGCCAACAATTATATGTATATAGATAATTTATTGTAGAATTATTTTGGATTAACTGAACTCAATTCAAATTTATCCCATTGTTGAGAAATGCTAAGGTCTCGTTACGGAACCATTCCATCGAGATTGTAATCGTTAGATCATCATGTAACAGTAATTATCTAACGCTTACAAACCCCGATAAAATGATTCCGTATAGCATTTTCCATTATTTTAACACCCAAGGCTCATTATCCCAAAAAATCAACATATAATGTAAATTAATAAACTATCCACGTGTCAACACGCGATCCGTGGAAACATGATAGGCTAATACCACATTCCATATATATATTCGGACCCCATTTTCCTCTCTAATTTCATTATCACTACACACAACACGCACATATTTTTCTCTCCGGCCACCGCAACAGGCGGAGCAGCAAGAACAAAATATTTAACTTAGCAACAAGTCGATTGCCGGCGGCAGTTCATATATACTCTCGTCCCGGATGGAAGTCGGCCCGAAAATGGTCCACGTGGAGGAGCTCGGCCTCAAAACCGAACTCTGCCTAGGCCTGCCTGGCGGCGGAGTAGGTGAGCCGACGGTCAAGATGGCCGCTAATCTGAAGAGAGGGTTCTCGGAGACCGTTGATCTGAAGCTCAAACTTCATCGCGATTCCGATGAACCGCCGTCAGTTGCTGATGCCGACTCGAAAGAAGACGGCGTTGTTACTATGAAAAGTTGTTCCAAGGAGAATAATAGTAACAAAGCTATGGTTAATCTTCACAAAGACCATATGAATATGAAACCACCTGCCAAGTGAGTTTAATATAATATTTCTTATAATGTTCTTAAACTTCTTCATTTTCATTATTTTTCATGGCTTTGTTATTTAAAACCTTTGTTATTATTATTATTATTATTATTATTATTATTATTATTATTATTATTATTATTTCTTTTGTTGTTGTTATGAGACTCCAATTTTACAAATCTTAATAGTATTGGGGAAATATGCTCACCTAGAAAACATAGCTGCAAATGCTTCAATCTTTGAAGCCAAGCAACACCTAAAAATATCAATATCGCAATAATCATGCCTAATTTAGAATTGTAGTCTTTCATTACCTATGCAATTTTCTTTTTTCTTTTTCCTTTTTCTTTTCTCTTTCAAAATGAAAAAAGTTATGTTCTTTTGCATGTTTCTCTTGTAAATATAAGAGTAAATTGCAATTTTAGTCTTGTATGATTTAATGTTATAACTTTTTTGTCCCCTTTGAATTGTGTATTTTGTTTTTCGTCCCTAAGTCTTGCAAAAAGGTTGCAGAAAGGTCCTCGCGCGTACATAAAGGAGGAAATTGCATTTTTTTTTTTTTTTTTTTTGTAAAACGTAAGGGATCTTTTCGTTGGGAAAATGATTATTTTGTAATCTTTCTACAAACATAAGGGATGGAAATAAAAAAACAATTCAAAGAGGAACGAAAAAAATATGATAATGAAACATACAGAACCAAAATTGCAATTTACTCTAGAAATAAAATAGCAGTTTGATGTAAAAACTGAAAAATAAACGTTTGGAAAAACTTCGATTAGGGCACAAGTGGTTGGGTGGCCACCCGTCCGTTCTTTCCGGAAGAACATAATAGCCGATCAACAAAAGGGCAACAACAACACTAACTCAGCTCCCGACAAGGCTGCCGCTTTTGTTAAGGTGTCGATGGATGGGGCACCTTTCCTCCGTAAAGTCGACCTAAAAATGTACGAGTCGTATCAACAACTATCGGATGCCTTAGCCAAAATGTTCAGCTCCTTCACCATGGGTAAGTAACAAAAAATAAATAATATATATATATATATATATATTAATATATGTTTCTATAAAATTATTAATGTGTAATGAATCTTGATTTATTTAATTGTTGTTATAAAAAAAAAAAAATGCCAGGAAATTATGGTACACAAGGGATGATAGATTTCATGAATGAAAGCAAATTAATGGATCTTTTGAACAGTTCAGAATATGTCCCTACTTATGAAGATAAGGATGGGGACTGGATGCTCGTGGGGGACGTACCATGGGAGTAAGTCTAGGCCTAATTAATTTGCTAGGTTTTCTAAGTTTTAATTAGAAAAAATTACATATTAATGCAGCACATTTTATGTTTTTGCAATTTAATCACTACCTTTACAATTTTACAAATTAATACACCACATTTACCATTTTTTGCAAATCGATACATGTATGACAGTTCTGTCCATGTCAGATTTTCGTTAACGAAACCATTATTTATGTTTCGATTTGCAAAAATGATAAAGGCAGTGTATTAATATGCAAATTATAAAGGTGGTGATTAAATTGCAAAAAACATAAAAGATGGTGTATTAATATGTAATTTTTCCTCTTAATTATGGAATTGCTTTAAGTTTTTGCAATTTATGTTTATGTTTTTGCAATTTAATCACCACCTTTACAATTTCGCAAATTAATACACTACTTTTACCATTCTTTGCAAGTCGATACATGAATGACGTGTCAGATCTTCGTTAACGAAATCATCATTCATGTATCGATTTGCAAAAATGGTAAATGTAGTGTGTTAATTTTCAAAATTGTAGGTGGTGACTAAATTGCAAAAACAAAAAAAATGTTGTATTAATATGGAATTTTTCTTTTCAATTATGGCATTGCTTTAAGCTTTTTTTTTTTCAAAAATTTTCTAAGTAAAATAATAATAATAATAAATAAATTAATAGCACTACTCCTAATTCAAGGAACGAATATTTTACCTACCATTTTGACTAATTGGGTATCAAAGTGTATTTAGAAAAATTATTATGTAGACATTTTGACACATATTAATTTTTTTTTTAATTATTTTATACTTATAAATTTTGACATTTGTGCACAACAAAACTATTGCAGGATGTTTGTTGATTCTTGCAAGCGCGTCCGAATCATGAAGGGATCTGAAGCAATTGGACTTGGTGCGTTATTTTCCATGAAATAATATATGAAACCCTTTGTGTTTTTCTTCATCTCAACAAGATTATGGTTTGAAATTGTGTACATGCTTTGATTATTTATTTTTTTTTTTTTTGACAAATTAAATTAATTGGAGATTCTTTTTACATTGCAACAAGATAATAATTTGAAATTCTTGTATATCTTCTCTGATTAATTAATGTATAATTCTAACAAAATTGTCTTTGTTTTTGACAGCACCACGAGCTATGGAGAAATGCAAGAACAGATGCTAATTGACGAACTTCTCGTGCCAGCATATGTTCTTTGTGGAGATGCTACGATCTCGTTACAGAATAATTCTGTTGGAGTTTGTAACTGTTAAGTGATCTAATGGTTACAAATCTCGATGAAATGATTTCGTAACAATACTGTAGCATTTTTCGTTGTTTTTTCAATTATTATTGTTTTTTTTTTTCTTCCGGGTTTTGTGAGGACGTGTCTCTTTATGTTATTGTAGTTTATTAGACTATATATGCAAATTAATGCACTTTGTATGGCTTTGTTGTGTATTAGTACTAATTTTTGCTTTGGCTCTAAGCTAATGATTAAATCATGCTGTTCATCATGTTGTCCTGTTGTTGATCTTAGTTGGCATATGGTTGTGTATTTATTTTTTATCGCCAAATTGTGTACCAAATTAATGATTTGCTTAATTGTTTGCCAGCAGATTCTTCATATCTTGTAATCCGAGTATTCAGTTTGTTTATTATTCCTCGTGAATTATTTTTGCATGATTAATTGTTGTAGTCCCCCAACAAGAGTACTTGGAGGGAACATAGCCATGTGCATGTCCGTGGAATGAATCTTTGCATTTCAATTTCTTTTCCTTTTCTATATATATATATATGTGCATAACTAATTCATTATAATTTTTTTGTTTCTGGTAACAAAAAATGATAAATTAAAATAATATAATGCAATTATAATTGATATGACATGGCTTACACAGTTACACTCAGCCCGATATATATTGATAAATCAAGAACACTTTTTTTTTCCTCGATAGAGATGAATATAACTAAACGAAATGTAGTTCCATAGAAAGGGAACTAAGCTCATAAAACACCAAGATAAGCATACTAAAAGGCAGTAAACATACTGAAATCTTTAGCTAATCTATTTAGGCTTAATCATCGTCACAGTGAGGCAGATGCGTCGGGATAATGACTTCACTGTGACGATGACTTCTTCGCTGGGACTCTCCCCGGACCAGGATCTGCTATTTTATATTTCTCGTTGCAGTTTTCAGCTTCACCTTGTATTTTATCGCTTTTGATTTTTTCTTTTTTTGGTTTCTCGTTTGGCTTGATGTATATCAGACATTGGACTTGTAACTTTGTGACTTTTTAGCCTATTTAGGGCTTTTTATATTTACAGGTTGGGGGTTCACCTTAACCCTGTTGAAATCCTTGGTCACATGCACAGCTCACTATCTCCACGTCAGCACAAGAGAGAGCACGAGATATCCGTTGCCATGCAGCCCCATGCAAAGACAAATTATGTTTTGGAGAATTGTACTATGTCCTAGGGAAGTCTTATCCTATTTATGCTAGGTGTCATTCATCTAGTGCTAGACCTAATATAGATGGTGAGGATCAACTCATGAGATAGGCTATATATAGAGTCATTGTCATAGCAGCTCGAAATACAGAAACTGCAAACACCATTTTTATGATATAGCATTTATTGCTTTCTTTTAAGCTTTCAAGTTCTCTACTTTTGATTTCAATGGATATTGACATATCCTTTTATGGTATCAGAGCTGGTTAGCCAAACCAGTCTCTGTCAAAGCTCCTTTTCTCATTTCTTTTCCATTTACCATATCCATATACCATCAAAATGACCACACAATCCTCAGATCCCATTATTCAACCGCAAGGCCAATTGATTAGCATAAAACTTTCAGATACAAATTACTTGATATGAAAACAACAAGTGTTGGCTGCTACCAGAGGTTATGGCTTGGAGAGATATCTCAATGGAGACATTCAAATCCCAGATCAGTACATCACAGATCCAGACAATGATGGCCCTAGATCCAACCCAGCCTATATCCTTTGGGTGAAGCAAGACCAACTTCTAGCTTCTTGGCTGCTTTCATCACTCACTGAATCTCTCCTCATATCCACTATTGGTCTAACAACAGCAAGGGAAATCTGGGAATCTCTAGAGACAAGTTTTGCTAGCCAGAATGCAGCAAAGGTCATGCAGTACAAATTGAAGTTGCAGACCACCAAGAAAGGAACCAGCTCAATGAAGGACTACCTCAACAGCATTAAGTCCTATTGTGACTTGATCACAGCTGCAGGCCAAAGAATCAGTGAAGAAGACCAGATCTCTCATGTTCTTGCAGGGTTGGGAAATGAATACAACCCAGCCATAGTCTCCATCCTTCTAGATCTGAGCCTAGCAAGCTAAGAGAGGTTCACTCTCTTCTCCTTAGCTTTGAAAACAGACTTGAAGTCACTGAAGGAGGATAATCTGAAGACAATGGTCAGTATTCAGTGAACAACACTACCCAAAACAAGAAAGGTGGCTTCAAAAGAGGAGGTGGCTCATCTCAGTTTGATAGAGGAAGGATGAACAACCAAGGAGGAAGATCTAGCAGAGGTGGTCCCTTTAGAAAAAGAGGGGGCAGAAACAATTAATGGCAAACCAAGGTGTCAAATCTGCCATTACAACAACCACACTGCAGATAAGTGTTACTATAGATGTGATCTGAACTTTGTGCAAAGACAAGGCCCCAACTCAAACTTCCAAGGACAGTCTAGTGGAAATCAGTATTCAGGAGGAACCTCAATCAACCTTACAGACATGAATGGATCAGGTATGAACATCTCTCACTTTGGTGAATCCATAGTTATGTCCAATAAAAATAAAAAATTCCTTCTTACAAACCTCTTACATGTGCCAAATATCACAAAGAACCTGGTCAGTGTATCCCAGTTTGCTAAAGACAATTGTGTGTTTTTTGAGTTCCATCCCTCATTTTGTCTTGTTAAGGATCAGGATACAAAGGAAGTGCTTCTCAAGGGGGCAACTAAAGATGGCTCTACAGCTTTTACCTACAAACCAACATCACTGAACCTAAGAAACAAGCTTCTCAGCCAGTGAACAAGAACCCTATCCTCCTTTCAGCTGAATTGCAAAATAAAGTTAGTCTAGATGTTTGGCACACTAGTTTTGGTCATGCAAGTTTAGATATTGTAAGGAGAGCATTGAGTGACTGTAATATCTCCTTTATTGGTAATGAGAATCAAGGTTTATGTTCAGCTTGCATGAAAGCCAAAATGCACAAGTTGCCATTCTATCCTTCTGAAAATAAAAGTTTTTCTCCTATTGAGTTTATCCATTCTGATCTTTGGGGGCCAGCCCCTATAAGATCCTTTCAAGGCTATAATTATTATGTTTCCTTCATTGATTATGCATCAAGAAACACCTGGGTTTATCTGCTTAAACAGAAATCTGAAACCTTACAAGCATTCATTCACTTTAAAAACTTTGTTGAGAACCTTTACTCTAAAAAATAAAGATATTTCAGAGTGATGGAGGTGGAGAATTTGTGGGAATGAGTAAGTTCTTGTCTGAAAATGGGATAAAACACCAAATCTCGTGTCCCTATACCCCTGAGCAGAATGGGTTAGCTGAAAGAAAACATAGGCATTTGATTCAAGTTGCCTTAGCTCTTCTTGCTCAGTCCAACTTACCCTCTTGTCATTGGGATGATACAGTTTGCAGTGTTGCCTTTATAGTTAATAGGACTCCCACAAAAATCTTGGACTATAAAACTCCTTTTGAAATCTTAAACCAAAAGAAGCCAGATTATTCTCATCTAAAATCCTTTGGTTGTTTGTGTTACCCTCTGATGAAGCCTTACAATCAACACAAACTGCAGTACAAAAGCCAACCTAGCATATTTCTGGGGTATAGTAGTAAGCATAAGGGATATAGGGTGATTCTTCAAGATAAAAGAGTGATATTAACAAGACATGTAATGTTTGATGAGTCTTAGTATCCTTTTATAAAGGACCAACAGACACCTGAAATGACTATCCCTCACACTGATAATGCACCTCTCAATGTTATTACTACTGAAAACATGCCTTCTACACCAATCCCATCTGCTCCAACACATTCTCTCTTATCAACTCAAACAACTCCACAGAGCAGTCCAAGCCCATCTCCTTAAAGCTCACCTAACCTTCATGGACATATCTATGTGAATTTACCAATAGAGAATTTTGTGTTACCTGCTGATGTTGTCACTACTTCTGTTGAGCCCTCTAACAGGAATGCAGATGGTCATTCCATGATAACAAGAGCCAAAGCAGGAATACAAAAACTTAAGGTCTATGCAGCTCTATGTTCAGAAGACAAAGAGCCAAAGAATGATGATGAGGCCTTATCTGATCCACAGTGGAGATTAGAAATGCAAAAAGAGTATGATGCTTTGGTAAAGAACAAAACCTGAACATTGACTCATCTACCAGCAGATAAGACTCTAATTGGCAGCAAGTGGGTTTACAAAGTACAGCACAATGCTGATGGAACTGTGGCAAGACACAAGGCTAGGCTGGTTGCAAAGGGATACACTCAATATCCTGGTTTTGATTATGGTTAAACATTCAGTCCTGTGGCTAAACTTGCAACAATAAGAACTGTGTTATCTATTGCTCTAGCCTCAAACTGGAGTATTAAGCAAATTGACATTGACAATGCATTTCTCCATGGGAATTTAGATACTGATTTATACATGGAGCAGCCAGTTGGTTTTGTCATACCTCAGAAGGAGCACTTGGTGTGTAGGCTGCACAAGTCCATTTATGGACTAAAACAAGCATCAAAGGCTTGGTTTGATAAGCTTGGCTCATGCCTTCACTCACTGGGATTTAAGAGAAGTCAAGCTGATCACTCTCTTTATTACAGACATTCAAATGGTAACTGCACTCTTGTGTTAGTTTATGTTGATGATATGGTTATAACAGGAAGTAACACTTCAGAAATTACCAAGCTCATTGATCAACTTGGTAAGGAATTATCTCTGAAGGATCTAGGAGGTTTGAATTATTTTCTGGGAATAAGGATTCTCAAAACAAGATCAGGACTGTTTCTTATTCAAAGAAAATACATTGTTGATTTACTGAAGAGAACAGGAATGATAGATTCAAAGGGGCTGCTATCACCAATGGTTGGGTCACTATTACTCTCCAAATTCAGTGGCCAACCTATGGAAGATCCTAAACTTTTTAGGTCAGTTGTTGGTGCACTTTAGTATGCAACCATATCAAGGCCAGAAATCTCTTACAGTGTTAACAAGGTTTCACAATACATGCAAACTCCCATGAACACTCACTGGAAGGCAGTTAAAAGAATCCTGAGGTATCTTGCTGGAACTCTTGACTATGGGATGCATCTTTACATGTCAAAGAACTTGTTACAACTTATGCTGATGCAGACTAGGGATTTGATATAGATGATCGAAGGTCAACAAGTGGATTTTGTATCTTCTTGGGTCCAAATTTGATTTCTTGGAGCTCTAAGAAACATCACATTATGTCAAGGTCAAGCACAGAAGCAGAGTACCGATCATTGGCTCATGCAACTTGTGATGTGGTTTGGCTACAGTCTTCTCTCCGAACTCAAGGTTCATACACCTCAATCAGCAACTATTTGGATGGACAATCAAGGTGCAGTGAGTTTAGCTGGAAATCCAGTTTATCATTCAAGAACTAAACACTTTAAGACAGACCTTCATTTTATAAGAGAGAAGGTTGCCAGTAAGCTCATATCAGTTAGACACATACCAGCACTGGATCAAACAGTAGACTTGTTCACAAAGCCATTAACGGGGCAGCTCTTCACAAGGTTCTGGAATAAACTCTACATTTTGCCTAGGCCCTTGCTTGATCTGAGAGGGGGTATTGGAATCCTTGGTAACATGCACAGCTCACTATCTCCACGTCAGCACAAGTGAGAGCACGAGATATCCGTTGCCATGCAGCCCCATGCAAAGATAAATTATGTTTTGGAGAATTGTACTATGTCCTAGGGAAGTCTTATCCTATTTATGCTAGGTGTCATTCATCTAGTGCTAGACCTAATATAGATGGTGAGGATTAACTCATGAGATAGGATATATATAGAGTCATTGTCATAGCAACTCGAAATACAGAAACTGCAATCACCATTTTTATGATATAGCATTTATTGCTTTCTTTTAAGCTTTCAAGTTCTCTACTTTTGATTTCAATGGATATTGACATATCCTTTTAAACCCCCTGCCCACCTGGGGTGTTGCTTGTTTACAAAAAAAAAAAAATACTATTTAGGCTTAATAAAAAAGAATAACTAGTCATTAATACAAAGAACCTAGCTAGGGAAACAAACAAGGGGGAGGGAGTAAGAAGATAGAATCCAGGAGAACAACACAAACTAGCTATGCAAATTAAACAACCAAAAGAACAGAAAGCTGAGCTGAGAGCTTAAAGCTTAATCAGAGGAGCAGACAACAGAAAATTTTTGCCATCCACAGGGAGCTAATTTGATAGCCTCCTTCTCTGACAACCAAGACTTTTTTAATATCCACCAATTTCTGGATTTCCAGAGCCACCAGAGAATATATGTGGTGAGCTCTATTCTATCCACAACTTCACATCTCTTAGATAAACAAATGTCTCTCCACCAGATTTTAAAACAAGGGGTTTGAGGGTGAATGCTAGTCCAGCTGAGAGGGGCCATCTTTCATGTTATTTGGGCTATGTGGCAAGAAGAACAAGTGTTCAACAGATTCATCAGCCTTCCCACAGCAAGGGCAAATTGTGTCAATATGCAGACCTCTTTTGGCTAGATTGATGCAGAGAGGGAGGGTGATGTTGAAGCACTTCCATAGGAAGTGCTTGAGCTTCCTTTTCACTTTTAGCTTCCAGCTTAGGGATCTGACTTTGTTAATCCAAGTACATTGAGAGCTGGTCTCTGGAATATCAAGCTTGTTGATCTTGTTATTGATGAGCTGAGCATATGCAGAGGAAACAAAAAAGAGCCCTTTGCTATCTAAAGCCCAAGAGAACTTGTCCTTCTTATCAATGCTCTGACTTGTAATGTTAAGGATAGCCTCACTTTCTAGTGGAGAGAATGTTGGGTTCTGTTAGGAACGTCAAACAACATGCACAGTATTGAACTTTATCGAAA